ATATACTTAGCTTGGGTGTCAAGTATACCTGTTCCAATCCTCTGAACCCATCAACAATTGCCAGCACGGCCCGTAAGTGGGCTTACGCCCCATCGATGGGGAAGTCATCTGTGGTTGTCCCTACGTGTAGTTTCACTGCGAAGATAGGGGTGAATCTGTAAATTTAACCCACTTCCAAAAATATACTTTGCCGGTTCCTAAGGGGTATATTGGGTATTTTAAACATGTATATAAGTGTTTAACACTTAAAATATTTCATTCTTCCAAATCAAAACCCCAAAATCCCTTAAGAACTCTCAAAGACTCCATTGAACTCCAAAATCAAGGAAGATCTTGGTGTAACGTTTTGACTTGAAATTTTTCATTAAAGAGGAGAATTTTCATCATTGAGTTATGTATTTTGATCCTTGAAACTCATTTAATTAAGGAGCCCCAATTCTCAAGATGTTTTCTAAAATTTTCAAAATTGAATTGTCCAATTTCATGATTCTACCGTGGGTTCTTGTATAAATGATTTCTAAACATTGAATAATTATATAATTGATATTGTATTGATTATTTCAATCTAAATTACCTATGAAACCATGAATTGAATCAACCCTAGTTTTTGGCTTAGTTTGGGGTTACTTGATATTGATCTATTGTTGTTGAATTCTTATGTAGTTTTATGTGGGCTACTCATTGATATAATAATTGTAGTAAATTTATATCTAGGTTGTATATATTGATTAATTTACATTTAATTGACCTAGATCATCGACTATTATAGCTTTGATGTTGATTTTTTTGTTATGGCCTTGGGAAAGGGTCTTGTGTTATCGAATTGAGTAAGTTGACTTTGGTTTGAAGTGTTGAGGATGATGTGGGGGTATGATTCCCTCTTTAATTTATTTTGATGTTATATATACCTCTATTCTATTATGATTTGTATGGTCCACTAATGGTGGCAGTGTTGTGTATTTTACTTGAAGTTGATATGGCCTTGTCGGCGTTACTTTATGCAATATGAAGATCTTGGCCTTGTTGACAACTATTTGAAGTAATATGAGTATTTGTGTAGTTTGATTATGTGAATCATGACTATATCTTTCAATATGTGAAGTCATATGTGTATTCTTTTATTCATGTTGTCTTAAGAGACCATGTTAGATGATACCTTTGACATTATGTGTGTAGTGTTGGAGTTGAGTCTTAGTTAATCCTACTTGGCTATATGAGTCTATGTTGGTTACATTGATGATGTTATGATAGTATATAGTATGACTTGAATATGTTACGTCTATTTCTAGGTTCTTCTAGAATGACTTACATTATGAGTTAAAAGTGAAGTATGTGGTGTCTTATCTTTGTTGACTTGTGTCCCTTGCTTGATGTATGTATGATTATGAATATGTGATGTCTTCATTCAAGGTGTTATAACTCTTACTCTTGAATGTGTGAATGACATGCGACCTTAAATGAACTTAAGAGAGTCTCTTATGTGAAAACCTTGACTTAGTGGTAAGGTTAAGATTGTTGAAATTGTAAGTCTTTATGGTATTATTCAAAGTAAAGAAATGATGGATTTAAGGTTAATTGGCTGGAACGACATCATATTAATCCTTAGGAAAGTCATTATGAGCTTCTTGTCGCCATTGTGAGGTAGCCTTAGTGGACCTTCTTTGGTAGGGTAAATGTGATTGGGTTATGAACTTGTTCTAGAACCCTTTAATGTGAACCTAACGTGTGAATTACTCTATGAGAAAGAAGGCATGACACCGGATTCCACACTTATATCTTGTGGTCTATGTCGGTTCATGAGACTCTACCTATGTCTTGCACTAGTTTGCCTTGAGGGAAGCCTTAGGAGGTGGTTCTTATGTATGAATATCTTATGATGATATATGATGTATATATGATAAACTTGCACATTGTTGATACTATATGATGATTAGTTCCACTTATATATATATGTGTTGGTCTATATGGTTAAAGTAAGATGATATATACTCTTAAATGTTATGTTATGTGAAGTAGGATATTGTTCATGATTCTTGTTGGGTTACTTAATTGAGTAAGGTTATAGGGTTTTGATTAATCATTGCACTTGTTGACTTGATAGAGGCTCGTGAATAATTATCTTGTTTTGATTATGTTGAAATGTACTCTTATACATGCTTGTTGCTAATATGACTTGATGATAGATTACTTGAATATGTATTCAATTATATGATATGTATGAATGACTTGACTAAACTTAATGTTGTTGTTCTTGTAATGTACATGTGTATGACTAAATGAACATGTCTTATTCGTTAGTATGGTTTGTTGAATGTGCATAAAGGTTTTAAATGAAAAGTGCATACTTTATGAAATGTCCCTCTTTCTTAGCATGTTTTTATATATGTGTGCATATGGTCTCGTACTTAGTACAAGTGGAGTACTAACCCCATTTTCTTCGTGTTCCCCAACATTTTAGGTTCCCGTTGTTGAAGGTCATTTGGAGACGACATTAAAGAAGACTTGGATATCTTGATCATCCAAGTAGAGTAGGTCCTCAATTTCCGAGGGCGATTCCATTATCTAGCTTATGGAGTTGTTTTTAGTTAAAGACTTCTATGGTTCTTCTTTTCAATTCAGTATGAAACATTGTATAGACCATGTGAGGCATTCTTACTTTGATGTATGGGTTATGCCCAAGTTCCTACACTCTTATTAGATGGTTTTGAGATGAGACTGTTATTATGACTATATCATCTTTAATATTTTTATGTGCAATTAGAGTAGAAGACTAAGTAATCTTCCTATACGAAGGGTCTATGTATACTCGATATATATATACTATGTGTATTTAGAGGTCTATGTAAACCTCCAAGTAGAAGTAATGAAAAGTTTTAAATTTTCCGCGTTTTTGATCTATGAATGTAATGATGTAAGCTAAGTGGCTAGTCTTAATCCTCAAAGAGGACACCGACGCCGGTTACGTCTAGGGAGTAAACTAGATATGAAACTTTTTCACACATAATCTTTCACAAAATGGTGAGATAGACGTTCAAAGACTCATTCAAGTGATAATCTTGTGAACTTATTCACTAAGGATTGCCAACATCAATATTTGAGAAGTTGTGATATAAGATTGGAATGCATAGTCTCCGAGATATCAAGTATTTTTTTATCAGGGGAGAAAAATATATGTTGTACTCTTTTCGTTAGCCATGGTTTTTTCTAAAATGGGTTTTCTCAGAAAGATTATTAACGAGGCAACATTCAAGCGTACTAAAAGATATGTGTACTCTTTTTCCGTCACTGGAATTTTTTCCTATAGGGTTTTTTCATAGTAAGGTTTGAACGAGACATATTATCTATGGACATCCAAGGGGGAGTGTTATAAAATAATATAATGTGGATGTCCACTATACGAAGAAGTTACTATATAACCTCCTTCATTATGGAGATAACCATAACCTCCATAAACTCCAACTTTATAACCATTACTCTTGTAACCTTTTACATCCAAAACCTCCTCCATTATATTCATGTTAATGTCATGTTTATGACTAACCTTTTGTATGCTTATATGTTACACTATAAATAGAAGCATACAAGTTCATATTGTATACACTTGAAAGAAACAAACTTATCTCATATTATTCCTCCTGTTTTATGTTCTTCTTGTCTTCTTCTTTATATAGTTATTTTGTTCTTACTTTTATAACAAGTAACCTTAAATTCAACAATTTTAAAACTTTTTTTAAATTTTTTTTTCCCGATAAAATTCAAATGAGGATTAATAAAAAATATCACAACGTATAAAATTAATGCAAAAAATTCACAAATAAATATAGTAACCTTAAATTCAAAATTTTAACATTCTTTTAATTTTTATTTTTTTGATAAATTCCAAAAATAAGTAATTTATTAATAAAAAATAGAAAAAATATGAAAAAAATATAAAATTACGCCAAAAATTCACAAATAAATATAGTAACCTTAAATTCAACAATTTTTTTAATTTTTATTTTTTAGTAATTCTCGAAAATAAGTAAATGATTAATTAAAAATAGGAAAAATGTGAAAAATATTGAATAAAAAAATGTTGAAATTTTTTAATTTTAAGGTTACTGTATTTATTGGTGAATTTTTTACGTTAATTTTATAGTTTTTTTATTTTCTTTTTTTTTAATCAATCAGTTACTCATTTTCGAGATTTACTGAAAAAATTGAAATTCAAAAAAATTATTGAATTTTTTGAATTAAAGGTACTATATATATTTGAGAATTTTTGGCGTAAATTTATTGTTATTATTTTTCCATATTTTTCTTTTTTTTATTAGTAAATTACTCATTTTCGAGATTTGTCGAAAAAAATTTGTTGAAATTGTTGAATTTAAGGTTACCATATTTATTTGTGAACTTTTGGCGTTAATTTCTATTTTTCATATTTTTTTATTACATCAACTACTCATTTTTTGGATTTACTGAAAAAATAAAAATCCAAAAAATAATTAATGAAATTGTTGAATTTAAGGTTACTATATTTATTGACTTTTGGCGTTAACTTCATAATTTTTTTTTTATATTTTTCCTATTAATCAATTACTCATTTTTCAGATTACCAAAAAAATAAAAATTAAACAAAAAATTTTAAAAATAATTGGGTAGTTTATTTAAAAGGGGAGTTATTTATGGATCTAATTAGGTGTTTATAAGTCCGAATCCGTTTACATATTCATATAAATGTCATGTCGTAAGATCAAAATGAAATGACAATTCCATGTGAAATTTAAAGAAATGAAAACTGAGTTGCATATGTACAGAATACTAACTAACGCCCATAAGGACATATCTAGACAAAAAATTGGACGACAAGGACATGAATGAACTAACCTTCAAACAAGATATATATTAACATTTTTAAATAGTATAAGGGTATATTTGACCATTTTCCCAAAATTTAAATATGAAACTCCATAAAGTAAAATACACCTTTTTTTTAACTTTGTTTTTTAAAAAGGACATCTTTCTGAAGTAATATATAGATGAGGGGTGAAAATTAATTCGACCTAATCCATAAGCGTAGCAGAAGTAGGGTAACTGAAATCGAATTGTAGCAGTAAGAATGCCGTTGAAGGTGTTGGACGCAACCATAACAACTTTTGATGGAGTTTTTGAAAAGTTTAAAGCAGAGTCGCCCAAAAACAAAGCCAATTTCATCCTGTTCCTGGCTGATATAGACCCTTCTACCAACCTTAGTTGGTGCCCTGGTAATTCTTAAAACACCTAGACAGATTTTATTGCGTTTGCTGGTGCTCTTGATACGAGCCACTAAAATTTGTTTCACATAAATTTGATTATGAATTCTATATAGTATTTTTTCCAAATATGTTGTACTGTCGAACGATTATCATACTCTACCATGAACTCTACCGTCTTTCTCAGCTTGTGGTATTGTATGTTCTAATCATGGTTGCTGGGCCTACTGTAGAATTAGTTTGAGTTTGTCTGTACTGATTCATGTGGGCAGTGGCGGATCCAGAAATTTTACATCAGGGGTGCTCAACTACATACATTTAAATGAATTACTAAATTTCGTAAATAAATAATAACATTGTCACTAAAGGCAGTGGATGCTTAATGTACAACATAGGTCCACCACTGTATGCGTGTAGCTGTAATAAACGATAATGTAACAGCAACCGATTCCAGATTTGTATTGATAGAAACTGACTCAATTACAATAGCTAATAATCAAACTGATACTTAAATGACAGAATTATGATTGAAGTAGTGAAAATAACATAGCTAGAGATATTAGAGAAGGAGATGAGATACTGGAACATAGAAGAGGATGAGGGGATAGCAGACTTTACAAAAGTGCAATATAATTCTCATAAACCTATATTGCTCTCACAGTTCGCTTTTTGTCAACTCCGATTCCAGGCATAGCCACTTAAATTGTTGTTGGGATGCTTTGCTAATACCGATCAAGACCTATTCATAACAATACCTCCATCCCCAATTAGAACTTTGTCCTCAATGTTCGGTTCGAGTCAGGAACAGTGATGCTCAGGGGCTCCCTACTGATTATCCCAATACCAAGACATGCTTTATGACTTGAAAAAAATGTGTGCCCTAGTGCACCTGTTATGGAACAATCAAAACCGTGGTCGTTGTGGCCTTTAGTGAACGGTAACAGATTTGTTAACTCAAGTGTCATTGTAACCAGCCCTGCATAGACATGACTTTGATTGCCCTCTTTTTGGAGCAGTTAGCAGTAAGCTAAATGAGAAAGCCAAGGAAAGCATTCCTGCAGCGAGCCTCCACAAAAGCATGAACTCAGTTAACTGGAAACCATCTTTTTGTGGCACGTGAAACTCATCCAATCATTTGATATCTTCCCAATCAGTACAAACAAGAAAAAGATACGTCATCTCATGATCAAGCTTGAACAGGAATGAATACATTATGGTAGTGGGTTTCAACTTTTGAAATCAATAAGGGTTGACCACCATGCCATTTGCAACCAACATGGTGCTTCGCTTGAGGCTTTTCTTTTTTAGCATAATACCAAATTCTACTTCCACACACATGTCACAACTCTTATTTGAAGACATAGGACAAAAGCTTATCTCCTCATTGGCAAGTATTTTGATGCGGCAGTTGGGAGTGTAGTGACAATATGGGTGTCTCACTTGTTGTTCGTGGATGACACTTTGTTTTTTTGTGATGCTAATGGGACTCAACCACATTATTTATGCCAAGTCCTCGCTTGGTTTAAGGCCAAGTCCTCACTCGGCTAGCTACTAGAGGGGTAATTTTGACAGCGAGAAATCATAGAAAGCAGAAGGATGCTTGCATCAGTTGGCTTTACATGTTTAAGGTTCGCGAGGACGCGAATCATCTTCTACTACATTGTGGGACAACTATGAGGTTGTGGTGGGATATGTTTAGGTTGTTTGGCACTTCATGGGCAATGCCAGAATTTGTGGAAGATTTGATGATAAGTTGGTAGAGCGGGAGAAGGAGAAAAAGACAGAGGGACTGGAATGTGGTTCCACTTGCTTTAATGTGGGTAGGTTGGAGAGTGAAACAAGAGAGCTTTTGAAGGTGTAGAATCGAGTTTCTCTCGGTTCAGGAGAAGTCTCCGCTCTCTTATTTTCTTTTGGTGTAAACAGAAAGTTCCTTGTATAGTAGATTCTTTACCTGTTGGTATACCCCTTGTATATACCGTCAATTTGGCCATGTTATGAATAAAACACATTTACATGATTAAAAAGAATGATAAACGACTCAAAATATTCATCACATTATCCAATAGCTTAGATATTCCATAGTTTACAATCTGAAATAAACCAAATTGTTGTCTGGCTTCTAGTATTTCTTGGAGGAAACCAGCAAGAATGATGTTTGTAAATGGTTTGTCTAGATCAAGCGCTGGGATGTTTCTACCTATTGTTGTATCGAACACCGTAGTAGGTACATTGTCCCTATAGGTTACTATAGCATCACGCCTTGAGAGTATTCATACATTTGAAGCATTTGCAACATCTTGAACTTGAAGACCCTTACAGTAAACAATAAGCACATGTACGAAAGAAGATATACTCAGCTCTACACCATCAAAGGAAGTCATAGCTTCTTAAATTGTCCTCCTCATATTTGCTCATAGGGCTGGAGAACACTTTATCCAAATCAAAATGAAACTCTGATTCTGCAATAACAAGAGGTGCTGAGACCTCCTTGGATTCGCACTTATCGTGCAAGGACACAACCACGTCCAAGTGCTCTGGAGCATCAGGGTTAGTTTCGGAGGAGGCAGACAGTGTGTTCTCTATGTTATCGAGGTGTCTGAGTATATGGGCATTATTGTCCATCCGTACCATTAGCAAATCCTGGATGTATTGAGGTGATGATGGATAATGGTAGAAAAGTATAGATCCATGTAGTCCAAATCAATGAAAGAACCAACGTAACAGACGACAATGCAGAAGCAACCAAACTCCCGATTTATACTGATAGGAACTGACTCAATTACAGTATCAACTAATACTTGAATGACAGTAATACAATTTAAGTGTGAAAATAATATAGCTAGGGATACTAGAGAGGGAGATGCGATGCTAGAACATAGAAGGGGATGAGAAGATAACAGACTTTGCGAAATTGCAATATAATTTGTATAAACCTATTTGCTCTCACAGTTTGCTATTTATCAACCTGGATTCTAGGCATAGCCACTTAATCAAGTGTTAGCCTACTTTGCCAATACTGGTCCAGGCCTATCCATAACAGTAGCTAATATCTGTTCATGTATTTGCTTTAGGAAGAACATTTTTTTCGTTCTGGTTTATTTGATGTTAGATAGAGCCTTTTAACATAAAACACTATTAGAGATATTCAGCTAGAGAGCAGTTCAAAACTTAGTAGAGACAAAAAACACTAGGTGATTCTTCCCATTTGTCCTAGCCTTGGTGGACAGAGTTATTCGGTACCTGTCGCTGGTGGGTGGTAGCAAGGTGGGAGGTGGCACGTATCTTGTGGAATTAGTCAAGGTGTAAAGCTGGCCCTGATACCGGGGTCATAAAAAAATATATTCGATTAGGAAGCATTCCTCTAACAAGTGCTGTTTTTGGCATTATTGGATCCACGAGGAGAGACATGTAGCATACCTCTCTCTGTGTAGACGAAGACATATGGTCAGCTTTTATTTCTTACCAACTTTCGTTGAATCTTCTTCAGAACTTTTCACTGGCACAGTGATGTAGGGCAGACAGAGAAATGTCTCTCATTTTCTGCTGGAACTTATGAAGTTCTCCTTGGGATGAAGGCATCGTCAAAATATGAATACCATTGCTCCGTCATTCCTGCATCATTCTGTTCCTTTTCAATGAAGTGGTATACCTTAAATGTGTTTCACTTGTATCTGCTTTTTTGGCCTATAGGCTACTTCATCTTGTGCCTCCGTTTTTATTTTTCTAAGAATGAACTCTTTTTTGAGAATGGTGGTGCCTCTATTTTTATATCTAGGAACTCTGACATTCTGCAGTTGTATATTCATTAAATTAATAAGGTATCTTTCCTCTGTATCTGCTTAAAATGTGATGGATGATATTATATTCAACTTTCAAGCTAACCTTTTGTTCTGCAATTTCCTGTTTTTAGTAGAATAACTTATTGCTTCGAAGCATGACTGATTCTTCTTATCCGCATTTGGCTGCCTGTTATTATCTAAGAGTCTTTAAGTTTTCTTGTTCAATTGCAGAATTATGGTCCTCTAGTTCATGTAACATTCTTACAATTCCAATATGTTTCTAAGATTCTGGTCATAGTTCATATAATATCTTTTATTCCCCTTCCAATAGACCATTAACAATTTGAAGAGACTCAAACACCTGGGTATTTCAGTCAAATTATATAAAATAAAGCAAGATCTTTTTAAAAAATCTGAACTTGGTTAATTGAGAGTTTTAATGTCGGACTAAGGGTTGAATCAGTTTCAAGGAATTAGTATCATTGTCAACATAAGTAGCGTGCATCCATCTAAGTTTACGGATGAACTTCGTGATTCTCCTCTGAATGTCTGAACCTAGAATTGCCATCTACTCTGTAGTATTGACACTATCAATATGATATATTGGCCTCTCCTCTAGATACACACTTTTTCTTTCTTAGACCTTTATCTCATATTTTACTTATTTAATTATCTTAAGAAGTATTTTTTAATTCATTGTTTCATTTTGAACATGTAGCAGTTATTAGTTAAGTAAACAGGTGCACAATCATGATTGTGCTATTATTTCTGGTTTGAGGGTTGAATTTTATACCATTTTAATAAATTGAACCTTAAACTTGGAGATCTGAAGTTGTTCTTCTAGTTCAGTCTAGCTTAACACTTAATCAGCCTTGCATTTGCCAGTGTTGTGGATTTTTTTGCATACATCGTGTTGTCTTGGGGGAAGGGAAGGCTTTTCTGCGAATTGTTTCGAATGATATTTAGATATTGTATTATGTTGGACCTGCATGCAGTTTTCACTGCAGGTGAATGAATCAAGCGATAGTTCTATCTTTACAATTTGTGTATGTTATTTGATATGACATTGTTTTTTTGTTTGTATTAGATTGTGTAAGAGCTGAACCTGTGATATACAAGAAACTGGAAGCATCATATGATGATATAGCACTTCTGAGGGCTTATGTCGGGGACAGACCTACTTGGAGGACTCCACAGCACCCATGGCGAGTAGATGGGAGGTTCAACCTCAAAGGGGTACCAACCTTAATCAGATGGGAAAATGATGCAATCAAAGGTCGTCTTGAAGACCATGAAGCACACCTTGATCACAAAATTGGTTCCCTTCTGAATGAAGCTTAAAGTGTCCCATTAACTACTTCAAGGGGCTGCCTTATATTATGAGAGTGCCTTAATAAAATATGCGAAACTTCATTGGCCTGAATGAACCTCATTTAAGAAGCCGTGAATATGATGACTCAGTGCTAGTGGTAGCGGGAAAAACTAGTGATTCTTGTTTAACATGTGTTGCTTCCATTTCTCCTGCCATGCTTAGTGTACTAAATTATACATCAATAGCATGTTTAATGTGTTGCTAAAATGGAAATTATTGCATTGTGTTTGACATGAAGGTTGTGGAGCTGAACTCCCATCTCTTCCAGTGACTAGAACTCATTGGCACTGCAGGGGGAATGGAGAATGACATCTACACCCGTCCTGCTATAATCACTACATCACCACCCATCTTTTCCATCTCAAGCACCCATATTCCTTTCCAAAACAGAGCAGCAATCGCAACGGCCCATCGGAGACATTGTAGGTCTGAGGTCCATTTCTATTTTTGATGATTGTTGATTTTGTTGGTGTTGTTCTATTTTGCAATTCAAGTTGAGTGTTCAGTGTCAAGATTGTGTCTTACAAGTCTTGTTGGATCATGATCATTAAAATTCTTTAAGAATAATAATAATAATAATAATCTGATTGGTAGTATTCCAACGGAAACCGACAACATAAAGGTATTAGTAGCACTTGCTCTCTAACAATCTTTTGGTAAAAACAAGTTGAGTTTTTCCTCTTTGAGCCATATCTATCTCACAAGTCTCAACGACTTCATGGCGGATTCCTGTGAGCATAATGGACCTATCCTATTAAAGAATATCAAGGCCCTCTATTGAGCAACTTTTAATTTATTGCGAGTTGATCAAATGATGGATTCAATAAGTTTTTGTCTATAACCATGTCCATTGTCTAGAAACATTAAACTATGTTTCCATAATAATATAATTTCATTGTGCTTTTTGAGGGGAGGTTTAAGTGCTCCCTTGCTTTTTGTAAGGCCATGGAGATTAGTTATACAAAGAGAAAATGGAATACGTTGTTTGTAAAAATGTGACATTTAGGATAACTCTTAATTTATTTTGCATACATCTCCTACAAAGTATTAATTTTTTAAGGATAAAAGCTTTAACTTTATTTAAATTTAATATTAAAAAATCTTAAATATTTCCAAAAAAATAAAATGCTGCAAGGGAGAATCCACAAGTCTCTCACTCCGGCAAAAGTTTAAAAAAGAAAAAGTTAAACACTATTAATACTTTTGGACTAAGAGTATATATATATAAAAAAAATCTTAAGCCCGCTTGTGTGGCGCCACCAGAAATTAAGATTCTCTTTTAATTTATTTTATCATCAAAACTAATCTTTCCATTTCGTGAAAAGTTATGACTTTTATAAAAGGTCATGACTTTAAAGAAGAGTTGTGACTTTGATGAAAAGTTGTGACTCTTGTAAAAAATTGTGACTTTAATGAAGATTAGTTACTATTATGAAAAGTTGTGTCTTTTATGAAAAGTTGCTACTTTGATGAAGAATTACGACTTTTATGAAAAGTTGCAACTTTTATGAAAGGTTGTGAGCTTTCTAAAGGGTTGGAACTTTTCCAAATAGTTGAAACATTTCTGAAGAAGCACAATAATCATTTTTTACTAGTATAATTATAACACAATATACTAACTATCCAAGTTCAGTCTCTTTGAATGACTTCTTTCTTCTTCTTTTTTCTTTAATCTTTTATAACAATAGTATCTATGTCGTGTTATTTGTCACGGACTTAAAGTCTTATTAATTCGGATGCAAAATTTGATTGAGAAAGGGCGGAGCATGGCATATAACTATAGATAAATTGGGTGATGATACATTTAGTCATGTTCTAATAAAGGAAAATAATCTGGCTGATTATTATATTATTAACTTACACTTTGGATTTTGTAGGTGACTTTCCTTTTAGCACATTTCAGTAGCCAGGAGGTACTATTTTCTAATAGGAAGATCACTAACTCGGACGAAACGCAAATTATATTTAAGGACAAGGACTATTCGGATGAGTTATTACAAGCAAATAACAATTGTCAATAAAAAAATGCACCAATTAATTGTGCTAGATCAAACACTATAGTCTAGATACACAAATTTACATCTACATTTTCACTATCATGCGCTGCCAACATCCATGATGCCCAATTTGTTAGTTAGAGGTACAAATGTGCAGACTGACTCTTCACTCTAGTAGTGATAATAAGACAAAAGTAATTAATCAGTTGACGAAGAGAGATGGAAAAAAAAAAGAGAGAGAGTAGAATGGAGGATGTGATGCTAGTTTACAAATAATGCTTGAATGATTTTATAATACCTCGGAAATGGCTAAGTCAAATTGGAAAGGAAAATTTTCATTTTTGGCACTAATATAGTGATGTACGAGTTCAACCTATGGATCGTAGGAAGGGAATCGTAGGACTTGGTTTGAATTTTGGAAATGTCAAGTCCATTAAGTACACTTACAAATGGACCGGAGGGGTCGTAGGGTGTTCTAGGGGTCGTAAGAAGTGCCCAGTAGAGTGATTCGAAGAATTGATTTGAGAACCTTAGGTCTACAAAAGGATTTGACGATTCGTCATATGATCTATGAGTCATAGGCGGGATCCATAGAAGTGATCTAGATTTGGTGAATTTGACTTGAACATGGGTTCTACGGATATGATATACGAGCCATAGAAAGTGAGACCGATTGTAGTAAGGTTTCGTGGAATCGATCAGTTATAATGAACACCAGTAACAAGTTCTATGGTTTACCAGGATGACCCGCAGAAAGTCTTATGGACCGTAGGTCCAAACCGTAGACTTGTCATACAGATTTTAATGAAGGGTGCCTTGGTCTTTTTACCCACTTAACCCCTAAGCTATGTCGTTTTGGCACTATAACTACCCCTATAACCGGTTTTAGTCCTACAACTAAGCCTAAATTATCTCATTCACTCGATTCCCCCAAATTCCCTCAAGTCTTCCCCCGTAAATTCTCTCAAGAGCTTCAAGGTGAAAAGCTAGGGTTTCAAGCTTCAAGGTCTCATCCTCCTTACATTTGATTATCAAGATATGTTAGAATTTACCAATGGATTCATTTAATCCATTGGGTCCCAAAAAAACCTCAAAATCTCCAATTAAATTTTTCCTAACTATTAAGGGTTCCATATTATTCTTCATGAGTCCTATCTAGTATGATTCAATTAATGTTATAAATTGGTCCTATTATGCATGATTCTAACCAATTGTATGTTTTCCAATTGATTTCACATGGAGTCATGCTTTATATTTGAATTGTGACTATGAACTTATGAATAAAGCTATTATGAATTTATTGTGATATTAATATGAAAGCAACGCATGTTTTATGAAAATGATGATTTCTGAATTATAGACGTTTTAAAGCTAAAGTGTCAATGAAAGATTTTGTCCACGTTAAAGGATTCGTGATTTAGATACTCTTAAAGCTAAAGTTTCAATGAAAGACTATGCCAAGATTTACATTAATGAAATCGTAAGATTGCATGAGGTCCTTTGTCTGTCATCTCAGATAGAGGACCTCAGTTTACCTTTCATTTCTAAAAGTCATTTTAGAAGGGTGTTGGTACTCACGATAACCTTAGCCCAACATTTCTTCCGCAGACGGATGGACAAGCAGAATGTACCATTCAGACCCTAGAGCATATGTTGAGATCTTGTGTTATTTATTTTAAAGGTACTTGGGATGATCACCTTCCTCTGATTGAGTTCGCCTACAACAATAGCTACCATTACAGCATTCAGATGATCCCTTATGAGACTATGAATGGGCGTAGATGTAGATCTTCTATTGGTTGATTTGAAGTAGGTGAAACAGCTTTGATAGGGCCAGATTCAGTCCTTTATGCTATGGAGAAAGTTCAAATCATTAGAGATAGACTTAAGACAACCTAGAGTCGTCAGAAATCTTATGCAGATGTAAGCAGAAGGGAGCTAGAGTTTCAATTTGGTGATTGGTTTTTTCTAAAAGTCTCACCTATGAAAGGGGTGATGAGATTTGGCAAGAAAGGGAAGTTCAGTCCTAGATATGATAGGCTCTTATAAGATCTTGGAAAGGGTTGACAAGGTGGTATATGAGTTCGAGTTTCCAGCAGAATTAGCATAAGTGCATCCGGTCTTCCACATCTCACTCTTGAAGAAGTGTGTGGGTAATCCAGCCTCTGTAGTGCCATTATAGAGTATGGCGGTGAAGGATAGTATTTCTTATGAGGATTTACCAGTTGAGATTCTTGACTGTCAGGTTAGAAGATTGAGAAATAAAGAAGTCACTTCAGTCAAGGTTTTGTAGAGGAGTCAGTCCGTAGAGGGAGCTACTTGGGAAGCAGAAGCAGTCATGAAAGCCAAGTATCCTCACCTTCTTCCTTCCAATTCCACTCCACCTTGAGGTAATAGTTCCTCTTTAGTTTTTTCAGTCATTCATGCGTGAATTCAGTCTTAGAATCATGTTCCCTCAGTTTGTACTTACATTTTCAGCGTATTTGCATGTTCTTAAAACTCAATTCAGTCAGAAACTCAGTTCTCAGTGTTTTGTAGTAGGGTTTGCAGCACTCTCCATCTATTCCAGCTAGTTTAGTCTTCGTTCAAGGACAAATGTTCACAAGGGGAAGATAATGTAACACCCTGTATCCAAAACAGACCAAAAACTATTTTTTCAGAAAAACCTGCAAGTGAATCAAACGGTGGCTATCGACGGATCGTAGCCTGACCCACAGTCCGTCCTGCACATCCATCAATAGGGTCAAAAACCCCAAATCTCAGCCCAGGAAAATTTGGTTAAGTCCTGATTGATGGACGAACCTACAATCCGTAGTTTGTGACCGTCAATCAACACCCCATTCACCCACTTCAAACAAGAACTACGATTGACCATCACTATCCATAGGTGGACCCACAGTCCGCATGTCTGTCCATAGGTGGGAATTAGCAGACAGTTACGGGGAAAATAAAGTTGGGTCAACTTCAAATGGTTATAACTCTTAACACAAAATGAATTATGTGTCTCATGACATACCCACAGATATATAATTGAATTAGCTTTCCATAGCCACCGACCTTTCTAAAATCAAACCTCTGAGTAAAAAGTTATGGTCGTTTTAGTAAAGACTTGTCGAACAGACCCAACCAACGGACCTAAATGACGGACAGTCGATCAAACGACAGATCGTCTTTCCAGGCCGTCGTTTGGTCCGACAAAAATGAACTCCAAGGTCTTTTGGTCTTTCCCACTTTGTTTAAACCTTAAGATACTACATTTTGACCCTAAATCATCAGATTTTAGTAAGTTTAAGCGTAGAAACATAACAAGAACTTACGTAAGTCAAAATCATAAATCAAAAGTTAGAAAATTAGAAGCAAGAAAGGAGAAAAAGATCAAGAAACCTAGTTCAAGAATGCATCAAGGTTCCAGCCCCAAAATATGTATATTTCTCCGTAAATTTCATCACTAGGTATGTAGGATTTCACTAATGGATTCCTTTCACCCATTGGGTCCCTCGTTTTCAGTCAATTCTTGATTCTCTTATCATGATTAAACCTAGGGTTCCTAAAATTAGAGAAAACTTCATGATCTAGTTAAAGTATATGTTCCAAATCAGATTATCATGTTATTGCTCAGATTACCACATGAATTTCAGAACCCTAGCATTGTATTTTTTTAGTTCTTGAATTACACATGCTAGATCAGATATTTCAGTTATGCAGTTATACATGCTTCAGTTTTTAATGCATCATTATCATATTAAATGTTGCATTCCAGTTTGCATGTTTACTTTTGAACTATCCAGTATTTATAGAAAATTCAGACATAATTAGTTAACTACACAAATCAATGGGAGTATCATAATACCGAGTTGAACTAGGGTTCAGCGTACCCAAATAGTCCCAGAGCTACTTGCCAAGTAGGTTGTAAGTACCCTCTGTGGGCATCTAGTGATCACGCCAGCATGTCTTTATACCTTTAGCAGGGTATATTGGTCCTCTCGATGGGGCTTATACATCGGACTCCACATTTAGCTTATGTGGTTTTATTATCGGTTATTAATAGCTCTCACAATTCAGTCAGACTCTATTGTATTGACCATTTATCTGTATATTCAATATTTAGTTTCAGCATGTTATAAATTGGTCATTGCATTCAGTTAGCTCAGAATTCTCTATATCAAGTTTAAATTAGTATACTTTATTTTGTGCTTGTTCAGTTATGTTTTATTTTAGCTTTATTCTAGCCGACATGCTCAGTACCTTTCAAGTACTGACGCATACATGCACTACATCTTCTTGTTATGTAGGTTCAGGTTCTTAGCATCCAGATCATGCATAGATCGATTCCCGATCTCCAGTTCAGCAGATTCAGTGGTGAGTCCTCGTTCTCCGGGGACAATAGTCATGAGCTTCTTTTTCAGTCGTTTAGTCATTTAATTTCAGTTTTTGCTAGATTTAACTGGGACTTGTCCTAATATTTCTAGTCCAGTTTAGAGGCTATTTTCAGACATTGTTAGTTTCAGCTTAGTGTTGAGTTAATAGTTTCTTTGTATTAAACTCATTAGTATTCATTTGTCTCAGTTATAGAATATGAGTATTCCCCATATTTTCAGTTTAAAGTATGATTTAGCTTCCATATTCAGTTTATTATCTTGAATATGCTCGTGATCATGCCAGAAGCGTTAGCTTGGGATCACTTGTGGTCCTAGGTTCCGTGTCCGCGTCTCAAGGATAGCTCGAGGCGTGACAAAATTGTTGAATATTCTCGCAATTCAACAAAACATATATTCTTGCAGCATCCCACTCCTTATCAGACAAATAACGAATATTTATCTCCCCACTCCGACGTCCGGGATGCAAACATATGGATAGAAAAGCATTGGGTGCATCAAGTTCACCTCCATCATCATTTCGAGTAACTTTGTTGAGCCTAGTTTGCATATTAGGATGGAAATAATGAAAATTGAATATTGAAATTTCTTTAATGATATAAGCTTCACTAATTGATCCCTCGACACAATTAGAGGAGTTGTCAAAATGGGCTGACCCAACCCAACCCAACCAAACTCTAACGGGCTAGAGAGTTAAATGGGTTGGGGCGGACTGACCCTTTTAATTAAAGGGTCAATAAAAGAGCGGCCAACCCAACCCTAAGCAGGCCACGGGTTTGGACAGGTTGTCCCTTCAACCAAAAAATGAACAATATTACTCTCTTAGAAAGATTATCGAATGTTGACGCCTATGAACACGACATCAATTCATAATGAATTCATTTATAAATCACACGCTTCAATGAATACTTACAAAAATACATTTATGAATCACACACTTTGGTGAATACTTAAAAAAATACATAATAGTCAACGTAAGATTTAGTAGACAAATGTTGATTCCATCATTTCTCCCACAAAAAACTAGCTGGTTTAAAAGATTTCCAGCAACACAAGACAACCTAAATACTTGACAAATCTAAATTTCTAAATATTACATGACTCATTAATTAATGTTTTATAACTCCGCTTCTACTTCAACTATCGATCACATTTGAATCAATGTATGATATTATTTTATTAAGAAGTTCATCTTCATCTACAGTTTACCATGTAAGATGATATTTCAAAATACTTGATTTTTTATTATTCAAAATATTTATTCATAAAATCTTTACAAATAAAACATTATTAAAAATATATATAAAAATATTTTAAAATATTAATAGCCCACGGGCTGGCATCTAAGGCTTGCGGGTTGGGCTAAGAGGCCAACAAACCAAATGGGGCGGGCTAAAAAGCCTCATTCGTAAATGGGCCAAAAATATTAAGCCCAACCCCACTTATTTCAAGGGTTGGGTTGGGCCGGCCTTGTGGGCCAAGCCCATTTTGACGGCTCACACAATATCTATTATTCACCATCTTCTTTAAAGTGTGTATTTGTCCGCATTTGTACATATATATTTAGTGTTATTTTAGTAGATTAGATAAAATATTAAATCAATTATATAGTTTAGACTTTTACCGCTTAAAAAGGCATATCCATCGACAATGGACTTGACCTCCAACTATTGTTTCATATGGTGAATTGGCAAATGTTCCATGGGATCAACCAAACCAGGAGGAAATAATTTCTCTAGCTTGCAAACTATAACCTTTATGCTTTCCTCAAGCTTCTGTAGATCTTCTAATTTTAACACATTTGCGCATAAACCTTTAAAAATTAAACTTATCTATGTTAACGCATTCCAAATTGGCTCTGGCAAAAGATCTCAAAATGCAATTGGTAGAAACCTTTCTAGAAATACATGACAACCATGACTCTTCATCCTTGATAATTTACAATCTTCCATGTGTACACATCTAGACAAATTTGAATCATATCCGTTTAGGAACCTTTAGCTTTTCAACCATTCACGTATCAACTTTCTATGCTCTTTTGTCAGTGAGTAGGCTGCCTTTGGCTTCAAAATTTTTCCAATGCTCCAACAATTCAAGCTTTGGACGATTTCAACAATTTGGCACATCCCTTCTATCAGTCAAATTGTGTTTTTTTTTATCCATTAGGTCCATTATTGTGTTGAATATATTAACAAACGCATTTTTCTCAATATGCATTGCATAGAGATTATGCTGATTAATATTTATACTCCAATAAGGAAATTCCCAAAAAAATCTTTGTTTTGTCCAATTATGTTGATCCCCAAAACCTAGAAACTTATAGGAGGCGTAATAATCACGCACTTTTGGTAAGGTACAAACTTTTTCCAAATTTCTTCACCAGACAACATAAGAGGAAGTAGAGTTCTCAACCTTTCCTTTTAAAAATGACTTTCTATCCTGTCGAAATGGATGACCCGTAGTAAAAAAAAATTACGATGTCAATCAAAGAATGATCCTTTCTCCCATGTTTTAAGTAAAATGTCTTACTTTTACCCATACAACAAGGGCATGCAAATAGACCATGTGTGCTCCAACCAGAAAACATTCCATAAGCTGGAAATTATTAATAGTCCACATAAGTGCAGCTTGCATTTGAAAATTCTCTTTCTTATGAAAATCATAAGTCTCAACCCCGTCAACTTATAATTTCTTTAATTCATCAATAAGAGGTTCTAAATATATATCTATATTCTTAATGAGAAGACTTAAGAACAATAAGGGATAGTTATGCACATTTCGAGTAGCAAACTGTAAGGTGTAATGATTATTGGCCAACAAGAATAAGGGTGTGTCGTATTCCCATAAGGACTAAATCCATCAGCTGCAAGTCCATGTCTTATATTTCGAGGCTCGCTTGCAATGTTAGGATGACACTGATCAAACTTCTCTCGTGCCTCTCCATCACTTGGATGACTCATTACCCCAGGTTCTTGACGGTATTTCCTGTGCCATGTCATATGTTCAGTTGTCTTTGTTGACATATATAATCTCTACCACCTCGGAGTTATAGGAAGGTAGCGGAGTACATTATATGGAACATCTTGTTGCCCTCCACTGAGTCTTCTCTTAGGCTTGTAGCGTGGTTTGCCACACTTCAGACAATCTCTTTTGTCTTTATTATCCTTGTAATATAGGATAGAACCTGTATGACACACATCTATCTTTTCATATCCTAGCCCAAGTTTTGCAACCATTTGTTTAGTCCTATAGCAATTTACATGTAATTTTGCATCTTCAGGTAAAGAACTCCTTCAAAAATAGGAAAATTTGATTATAGAAATTGTCACTCATGATAGATTCAGACTTAATGTTCAACAACCTGCACACTGCTGATAGGAGAGAATGAGTTCGACATCCATCAAACAATGTCTCTTTACCAACTTAGAACATTTCAAAAAATTCTTGAGCATTTTAATTAGGAGGTTCTTTTCATCAACATCCCTATAAAGCACATCACTGTCTAGGTTGAAACTAGGACCAACTGCATCCATGATCATAGTACAATATGGATTTATTGGTGTTCTATTAGCACCTATTTCATCACCTGTATTGGTACTGGGTTGAGGTCTAGTAATTGGTACAAAAGACCTCCTATGTGATTCCCATTAATAATAGTTGGGCATGAAACCATGTTTGTATAAATGAGATCTAATACCATGAGATTCAAGAAACCTACTACTGTTTTTACATTTTGAACAAGTGCACCTTATACTTCCATTAGAAACAAAATTAAGTTGCATTAATGCAAACATTATAAATTCATGCACACCTTCTATAAACTTATAAGTGACTTTTGTTCGACTTGACACTTGTCTCTTATACATCCACATGCGGTCAACTTTAATGGAACTCATGCTTCCAATCTAACAAAAAATGATGAAACACTTCTTCTAGTACTTAATAATTTATTAATTAGGTAGTAATCGGATAAATGAAATTCAAATTTAAACAAAAATGACCATGCCACAAATATCTAATTTAAGAAGGGTTCAATAGCAACATTTAACAAAGAGAAAGAATTGTATTTTTCTAATACAAACATAAATTTCCCTTCCTGTTAGTAAAGTCTAAAACATTTATGTGAATTCTATAAGGGATGAAAAAATTATATAGAAGCATGTGCATTATACAGACTAACACTATTTAGTCACCACAGTCCAACACAAATCAGCCACAAAATCTCTTTTGATTCAAGGACTCCATAGAAGATAAATTGAAGTGCTCAAAGCTCCACCCTTGAAAGTAGAAGGTGCGCATGAAAAGACACTTATCGTGCAATCAAAAGGTCAAAAAATGAAGCAGTGGGCTGAAACAACTTGAAAAACTCGTAGATTGTTACTTGCGGAGGCACTAGAGTCATCCGAGTCATCAGCCAAAGTGTTTGTCATAGACACTCGAATAAGATGAGTTCTGTAGTTGTTTTCTTCCTTAACATATTACCATCGAAAAGTTTAAGGTACATTTAAATCATCAACTCACAAGCATCTATATACTTTTTGTAGATATGATAAGCTCTAAACAATAGAAGGGATTTTGAAGAAAAAAAACTGTAACAGGACATTAACTACATAAAGCCGAATATGAAACTATCACCAATTGCAACGAAACAATATCTAATTCTAAAATGGTCACAAAAATTGAAGCAAAAATTCAAGAAAGCAACTTGTGAAGCTAAAAGAGTCACCTTGAGAATAAGGTAGTGCTTGCACCAAATCTTAAAGGAAATGAAAAACACAATAAAAAGAATTGCATTACATAAACAGAGGTGCACCTGGAAAGCTTCGATATTGATTGAATTCATGAGTTAGTCTATGACATTATAATCACTCTTGATTTTGTATCTCTATCAAATTTTGATTCAAAAGTTCAGTTCGTAGTAGTTGTTCTTGATAGAAAAGTCTTTATGATGAGCTCACTTGAAAATATAAATATTGACTATTAGGTAATAACTCAAGTTTTTGTAAATGTCGTTGCTTCTTATTCTCCTTTTTTATGTTCGGGACAAACATAATTTTTAGAAGTAGATAATGTAATGACCCGTTAGGCTATTTTGAGAACTAGTCATCTCTCTTTTTTATAAAGGATCCATTTCATAAATTTTAACCGTGAATTTTCAATTATTCGTTCAACTACAATTATTTAATAAGAGGTAAATTTTAAATATTTAATATTATTAAGTTGTTAATGGATCAAATCCATAAGTTAATATCCTATACCACTTGACCAATTTACTGAAATAAGTTAAAGAAGATTTTTATTTTTAATGGTACCACAAACCATTTTCCTAAATTCACCGCCGAAAGAGAACACGAACGACTCAGGTAAAAACCTATCCTTTCTATGCAATCTTATATTATGTATATGGATTGTTTATTGTATTATTATTGTTATTACCGGATGATTGGAGAAAGCTAACACCAATAAATTTAATTATCATATAGAGATTTGAAAAAAAAAAAAACTATGTGACATTGAAGTTTTGGTTGAATAAAATAAGACTGATGGAGGATTAAATTGTGGAGAAATTATAATTGGTGGGTTGATAGAGTTATCCCCACTACAACAACTATTGAAGTTTGTGTAGGGTTACTAGAAAACAAAAGAAAAACAATTGAGGTAGTCATCATTGCATAATCGTGAGACTTTGAATTAGGAGATACATTGTAGGCGTGAGTGCATTAATTAAAAGGGTACCATTTATTCCTCTAAGTTTTATGGTTGTTGTTATTCATATATAGGTTAGTTTTATGTATATTTATTCATTCGTGATTGAATGTTATGTTGGGTGTGTTGGGTTTTAGCAAGTGTGAATGGGAAAAGAAAAGAGAGAATATGACAAGTGAGGGAACTACTTTGGAGGGAAAATGAAAAGTCATTTGCAAAGTGCAAATGAAAAGTCATTTCTTATAAATTTGCAGGTAACGGTAACATTCTGAAAAGTTGTTACTCTTTTCGAAAAGTCGTTACTTTTCGAAAAGTCGTTACTTTTCAAAAAGTAGTTATTTTCCTAACAGACACAATTTCTCGAAAAGTTGTTATTTTTTCCAAAAGACACAACTTTCTGGATAAAATGGGTCTGAATAGATTTCACTGAACACACATGTTTCTTGCTGAAAATGGCTATAAAAGGAAGTCAATTTTTGATTTTTTAATCACTGAAGATTTTTTCTTTCTCTGCATTTATTTTTCTCTCAAATAAAATCAAAGTGTCGATCGACTGAGTCAGTGTGACTTGTTGCTGTTTACAGTTCGTTGAAGTTAAAGAAGTTTGAGGTACCACTATTTATTTAACAGGTTTAATCTGTTTTATCTTGGGAGAAATTAATCCATAACCTTGGGTACAGTGAGGGATTAAATTTCTTAAGGACACACAATAGTTTCAGTGGACTCGGATTAATTCTTCTATTTTAAATTTTTTCTGCTTCATCTTGTTTCTGTTTCTGTTCATTAACTTCATAAATACAAGTTATTGTAAGAAGAACAATCTTAAGAAATTTAAACAGTTTCTGTATTTGAGGTTTCTGGAGATTAAAACCTTTATGGTTTTCTACTCTGCTTGAATTTTTAAAATTCATTCGATTAACGATTAAAAGAACATAAAAACTTTATCGTTAAATCAAAAACAGTTTGTGTAAAGATTTGTTCTTTACTGTTAGTATTTTAAATACTTAATTTATCTGCCATTTGTGACAGAAAAAAAATGACTAATTCAAGTCAAACAAATGCTGGAACAGTAAGTGCTGCAACAACAACGGTTGCACATAATCATTCAAATGCTGCCTTAGCACCGGCTGAGAAACCTGCAAAGTTTTTTGGAGTCGACTTTAAGAGATGGCAGCAAAAGATGTTCTTCTATCTCACTACGTTGAGTCTGCAGAAGTTCATCAATGAGAATGTTCCTGTTATGTCAGATGAAACTCCGGCTGATGAACGATTCTTGGTAACAGAAGCATGGACACACTCTGATTTTTTTGTGTAAAAATTATATTTTGAGTGGTCTGCAAGATGATCTGTACAATGTGTACAGCAATGCAAAAACCTCAAAAGAACTCTGGGATGCTTTAGAAAAGAAGTACAAAACAGAAGATGTCGGAATGAAGAAATTCATTGTGGCAAAATTTCTGGACTTTAAGATGATAGACAGTAAGTCTGTCGTCACCCAAGTTCAAGAATTGCAGGTCATAATCCATGATCTCCTTGCTGAAGGTATAAATTTATTTAATGCCTATGTTAGAAATATTAAGTTTTCCCTTAATACTCACATAACCTTTAATGTAGGATTGATTGTGAATGATGTTTTTCAAGTGGCTGCAATTATTGAAAAGTTATCTCCATTGTGGAAGGACTTTAAAAACTACTTGAAACACAAACGCAAGGAGATGACTGTTGAAGATATCATAGTAAGGTTGAGAATCGAAGAGGATAATAAGGCTGCAGAAAAGAGGTCACGTGGTAATTCAGCAATATCTGGAGTAAATTTTGTTGAAGAAAATTCCACAAAATTAAAGAAAAGAAAGAAAGCATCTGTCCAAAAAGCAATCCTCCTAAGAAGAAATTCAATGGAAACTGCTTTAATTGTGGTAAACATGGTCATAGGGCTAATGAATGCCGGGGTTCTAAGAAGGACAAGAAAAAGAAGGATCAAGCAAACTTGGCTGAATCCAAAGGAGAAATGGACGATCTCTGTGCAATGCTTTCAGAATGTAACTTGGTTGGAAATCCAAGAGAATGGTCGATAGATTCTGGGTGTATCCAAAGGAGAAATGGACGATCTCTGTGCCAACAAAGAATTATTTTCATCATATACTCCAGCACTTACAGATGAAAAATTATTTATGGAAAACTCCGTTGTTGCAAAGGTGGAAGGAACTGGCAAAGTCCTATTAAAGATGACATCAGGCAAGGTGGTGACTTTGAATAGGGTCTCATATGTTCCAGAATTGAGAAAGAATTTAGTTTCAATTCCAGTTCTGACCAAGAATGGATTTAAATGTGTATTTGTTTCTGATAAAGTAGTAGTAAGCAAAAATGATATGTATGTAGGAAAAGGCTACCTTAGTGATGGCCTTTTCAAACTCAATGTAATTGCAGTTAATATGAATAAAGATTTTGCTTCTTCTTACTTGCTTGAGTCTAAATGTTTATGGCATGAACGTTTGGGACACGTTAATAACAAAACCTTGCGAAAACTGATTAACTTATATATTTTGCCAAAATTTGAGTGCAATAAATCAAAATATCAAATTTGTGTTGAATCTAAGTATGCTAAGGCATTCTTATAAATCTGTTGAAAGGAATTCAAATCCTTTAGAATTGATTCACACTGATATTTGTGACATGAAGTCAACACCATCACGTGGTGGGAAAAAGTATTTCATAACTTTTATTGACGATTGCACTAGATATTGTTATGTCTATTTGCTAAATAGCAAGGATGAAACAATAGATGCATTTAGGCAATATAAAACTGAAGTTGAAAATCAGTTAGATAAAAAGATCAAAATGATCAGAAGTGATAGAGGTGGAGAATATAAATCTCCATTTGCAGAAATATGTTTAGAAAATGGAATAATCCATCAAACTACTGCTCCCTACACTCCTCAGTCTAATGGAATTGCAGAAAGAAAAAATCGAACTTTAAGAGAAATGATGAATGCATTACTTATAAGTTCAGGTTTACCACAGAACTTGTGGGGGGAAGCTATCCTTACAGCAAATCAGATACTTAAGAGAGTGCCTCACTCAAAGACAAATGTAATTCCATATGAGAAATGGAAAGGTAAAAAACCCAATTTGAAATATTTCAAAGTGTGGGGTGTCTAGCCAAAGTCCAAGTTCCTATACCTAAGAGGGTAAAAATAGGACCTAAGACTGTGGATTGTGTATTCATTGGATATGCGACAAACAGTAAGGCATGTCGATTTTTGGTTCATAAGTCCGAACATCCAGATATTCATGATAATACGGTAATGGAATCAGATAGTGGTGAATTTTTTGAACATATCTATCCGTATAAAACTAGACTTGAGTCATCTAGTGGGGGATCTAAACAACCCAGAGAAGAACCAAAAGAGAATGAACAAAATGAAGAAAGTCCAAGACGCAGTAAACGTCAAAAGACATCTACTTCATTTGGATCAGATTTTGTAACATTTCTTCTTGAAAGTGAGCCTCAAACATTCAAGGAAGCAATGTTGTCTAGTGACTCATCCTCTTGGAAGGAGGCTGTTAATAGTGAAATTGAATCAATCTTAAGCAATCATACTTGGGAGTTGGTTGATCTTCCTTCAGGGAACAAACCCTTGGGTTCAAAATGGATCTTTAAAAGGAAGATGAAAGACGATGGAACTATTGACAAATATAAAGCAAGACTTGTTGTCAAAGGTTTTAGACAAAAAGAAAGTCTTGATTATTTTGACACATACTCACCAGTGACTATGATTACATCAATTCGGATGTTTATTGCACTAGCTGCAGTATACGGTCTTGAAATTCATCAAATGGATGTAAAAACAGCCTTCTTAAATGGAGAGCTTGAAGAGGAAATTTACATAGAACAGCCTGAGGGTTTTGTAGTTCCTGGTAAAGAAAAGAAAGTGTGCAAACTTATTAAGTCACTTTATGGGCTAAAACAAGCACCAAAACAATGGCATGCAAAGTTTGATCAAACCATGTTGTCAAATGGATTTTAGATCAATGAATATGATAAATGTGTTTACATTAAAGATACTCCAAATCAGGAAGTTATTTTATGCCTATATGTAGATGATATGCTTATAATGAGCAAAGACATTTCTAATATAAAAGCTACAAAGCGTATGCTTGCTAGTAAGTTTGATATGAAAGATTTAGGAGTTGCTGATGTGATATTAGGAATTAAAATTCTTAAAACTCCTAACGGTCTAGCATGGTCTCAAACTCATTATATTCAAAAGATACTTGAAAAATTCAAATTTTTGAATTTTAAAATGTCAAAGACTCCAATTGATGTAAATCTTCATCTTGCAAAGAATAAAGGCGAAAGTCAGTCTCAATTTGACTATGCTAGC